TTTTTTTAATCCCTGCAGCTGGACTTCCACAAAGGCATCCTGAAGCCACAAAAGGAGGAAGAACATGTCGCCCAGCCAGTTGCTCCTCAGACCCGGCTGCCCCCTCTGATGCCCGAACGAGACCGGGAAAGAGAGAGAGACCGCGAAGGGGGGCGCGACCGAGACCGCGAACGCGACCGAGGCGTCGCAGGAGTGCGGGACCTGTGGGCGGAGCGGGAGAGAGAGATGCAGCGCCGCGAACGAGCCCGCGGCGAGCGGGAATGGGACCGGGATAAGGTCCGTGAATTTGCAAGACCGGGAGAGGAAGAGGAGCAACGATCTCGATCCAGAGACAGAGAGCGCAGGAGGAGAGAGAGGGCGAAGAGCAAGGAGAGGAAGACTGATAAGAAGGGTAAAGCTCAAAGAAAAGTGGACCCACTTACAAAAAATATAGTAATAATTCAATATATATATCCTCAACAGGTTGGATTGTGTACCAGTGTTCACCCTTTTGTTTTCTGATTAACAGAGAAAGGAGACGAGCCTCCTGCCAAACTGTTAGACGACTTGTTCCTGAAGACCAAAGCCGCTCCCTGTATATACTGGCTGCCCCTCACTGAGGAGCAGGTTGGTCTCAACACTTACACATTTCTCTCTCGAGTGCTTCAGACTTCATTTCATCAAACTAAACCGTGCTTTGTGTCCACCAGGCGGCGCAGAGGGTTTTGGACCGCACAGAGCGTCAAAAAGAGCGCGAACGAAGGCGCAAGGAGCAGCAAGAGGAGGAGGAAAAGAAGCGCGAGGAGGAGAAGAAAGAGCGGCTGAAGGGTCGGGAGAAGGACGTCAGCGTGGCGGCGAGCGCCGGAGCATCCGCGAGAGGAACCGACGGAGACAGAGAGCGGGACCGCGGCCGAGACAGAGAGGCGGACAAGAAGAGGGACAGCGGCCACCGGCCCAGACGACCCTCGGCAGGCGTCGTCGGTGGACGTCGCTCTCGCAGCCGTAGCAACCCTAGGGACAGACGCCGCTGAGGGCTGAGTGGCTGCAGGGAAAGCTGTAGAGAGAGAGATAGAGAGAGGGGTGGGGAGGGGGGCGTGGCTTAGCAGAGGACACTGCAGACAGGAAGTCTTGGGAGGGAGTGTTTCCACTTTTGGAGATACATTTCTCTTTCCTCGAGGACTTGTCTGCTCCTCGCTGTCTGCCCCACCGTGCTTTAATTCGTCCACTCTGACGCCAGCGTTGTCTTCCACACACTTCTGCTATTTCCCCCTCCCCTCCTCCCTCCTCCTCTCACCTCGTCCGTGTCAGTTTAGACAGAAAATGATGATTACACGTTTTGTTAAACATGTAATGACGTTTTGTTAAAATGACGGTTCATCCAGCTCCACC